ATAACTTCATATATAACTTAAAAGTTTGAACTTTGAACTTTGCAGTTCAATTCAGAATGTCAGAGTCTTCAGACTGGCAGCACTATCAGTGCTCTCTCTCTCTCTCTCTCTCTCTCTCTCTCTCTCTCTCTCTCTCTCTCCAGCGGGCAGCAGCCGGGCGCCACGTCGAAATGGCCGCTTGGAAATTGCTCGGGCCTGTGTGAAACCCGCCACCCCAAAAACCTGCAGTGTCTTGTGTCCGGACCTCTAGGCCCTGTCTGGTGGGGTGAAACGACACTGAAAAATCACCCCGCTATTTTTCGAGGGGCGGCCAGGACCCGGAAAACGTTCTGGGCCACCCCATTTTTTTTTTTGATTTTTGCCCTGGGGGCCTCCATCCAGACATAAGGACCAGACACCGGACACCAGACATGTTGTTCCGGACTGTCTGGAACCCGGTCCGGACGTCTGGAAGGTTACCATGATAAAAGTTTAAAAACTCTACTATAAAATGCCTCCCAAAAAAAATAAAGCATAGAAGCTTATTCTTCTTTTAAATTAAATTCATTGAACAAAAATAGGAACAAGTTTATGGCGGAGAACGTAAAGGAAAGACGTTCCAAAAACCTAAAAAAAGAACAAAAGGACACTGTGGACGCCATGCTTTTGGTTGCCGGGTTTGATCTCCTGCCTGTGATCTGAGATGCTCTTTCTGCAGACATTCTTCGTACTGTGACTCCAACTCCTTTTTCTGCCCATCATTCTCTTCTTGCAATCTCTTGATTTGGGACATCAACTCTGCGCACATCCACACACACCCAAAAAATAATAAAATAGGTATGTATCAGAGATGGCTTGCATCACCATGGGTGGTGTTAAGAAACTCGACTCTTAAGGCTGAGGATGCTGGTTCGAATCCGCGTGTACACGGAGGAGAGCTAAGGCTGGTAATAGTACTGACTGGACACAAGCCCGGTAACCAGGCTGGAAATTATACCACGAATGTGGTCGCCGTCGGGGGCTGTGTGCCCTCGTGGTTTGAGTTGTGTACTTGAAGGAGCTAGTGTGCGACATCAGCTTGGTTTGACATTTTGGCAGCTCTTTCCTCAAAGACGGTCATATTCTTACACGCTTTCGCGCCTTCGTGGGATTCAGACGCGAAGTGTCTGTGCCCGGGTGTTGTTGTTTGTGTGTGTGGAGTAAGGTAAGGACACCACAGCCATGCAGGGGTGGGTATGTGGATATCATGACCGATATGATTCAAATTCGGAATACTGTGCCATGGCTGCTGTAGTGGTTAAGAAACTCAGCTCTTAAGGCTGAGGTCGCCGCTTCGAGTCCATGCGTGCACGGAGGAGGTCTGAGGAGGTCTAAGGCTGGTAAAAGTACTGACTTGCATCAGGATTTTTTTTTTTTTTTTTTTTTTTTTTTTTTGTTCCCCGAAAAGGTTGTGCAGGATGAGGTATAGGCAGGCTCTACCATGGCGGCCAGTGCTTTAATCACACTCCCACGGCACACCCAGGGCAGAGCGGGGGCATTCCAAGCCGGGAGACTCGTGCATTCAACTTTTTTTCCTTCTTTTTTTTCCCCAAAAAAACTTCTAGTCACATTTCAGCAGCAAATTCACTGTTATTCTCCTGCAGTCCCTTCAGAGTTCTGATCTGCAGACACCCAAAGAAAAAAAAATCATGTGCACGGCTCAATTTGAACAAATTAAATAATAAATACGGGGGAGGTTGACAGCACCGAAGGTCACCGAGATAGAATCTGATAGGTCACCGATATGGTAGTCCAAAATGTCATCCAACAAGATCAAAATGTCGAGGACAATAGGTCACCAATGTCGGAGGTACAGAGTCCAAATGTAACCGGTGTCCTAAACTGTGATGCAGCCGAGTATCAACCCCAACAATCTCCAAGTCTCCAATCCGGTAAGTACCACAGTCTCATACCACCGAAGTCCAATACTGATCTCTGTCCAACTAGTATAAGTCTCCAATCTGAAGAAGAAGAAGAAGAAGAAGATGGAGTCTGAAGAGGAGGAGAAGAAGAAGAAGAAGGAGAAGAAGAAGAAGAAGGAGTCGAGGAGGAGAGAGAGAGAGAGAGGGGACTGGCGAGGGGAGGGAGGAGAGAGGCCTCCAACTCCCAATACCTCAGGCGGCTATGGCCGCCGGCACACTCAGTCGCCGCTGCTGCTGCTCGCTCGCTGCTGCTCCTCGCTGCTCCTGCGCTAAACTTAGCACCAGCGCTGTATCGCGCTGTACCATACCGTACCGGTAGACTGCCGGTAGGTCGATAGCCTCACTAAGGCTGGACCGGTACCTTTGTACCGGTGGGCAGAGGTCGGCCTCTATGCTGCGAGGCCTGACCGTGCCCTGAACTGTCCAGATGGACGGTTCAGCCCTAACCGGCAGGCGGCAGCCTCAAGAGCGCCGCCAGGCCCAAACGGTAACATCGTTTGGGCCGGCCCGTCGGGTCTGGTCCAAGGTAAGGCCTTTACGGCCTGTAGTACCCCCAAGGTCGGGCCTTTGGCCCTACTGTGTCCCTCTACCCTATGTCGGGTCCGGTAGGACCCGTGTGGCGTCGAAGATGTAACACACTCCCCCTCTTAAAAGACCGAGCTACTTGCGAGGGCGGAGTTGTCTGTCCGATACCGGGATGGGTCGGGTGGGACGAGCTGCTGCCTTGGCAAGTCGTGTCTTCTCATAGTTGGCGAAGATAAGGGGTGCAGAAGTCTGCAAGTCTGCACTAGAGATCCACCGAGTATCGTCAGATGTGACTTTGTACTGCATTGGCTTGTTGCCATACTTGCGGTGCGTGATGACTCGGTCCACTTCCTGATGTCCGTCCATGGAGGGCGGATCCTGTGATCGACGTCCGGGAAACTCGTCATCTGAAGGTGGCGTGTAGATGGCCAGCTTCGATGCGTGGAAGCCCCGATGCACTGTAAGGTGCGGAGGGATGTTGATCACGAAGGAAGGACCTGCGGGGTCGTCTCCAACGGCAGAAGTGACTTCCCATGGTCCGAACCATTTCGGAAGGAGTTTGCGCGAAACAT